CATTTTTTTTTCTTTAGACCTGACCTGGAGATTTTTGCTCATGAAGTCTGTAATTATATAATCTCTTAGGTACTAGTCCTTTGGTAAGCAACTAATAATATTTCTTAGAAGACTCCTGGACTTGCTGCAAGTTTGATATCATACCGATCTTGTCATAACCATCTATTTCTCTAGCCTAGTCCACTATTTCATATAACATGCTTTCCTGGTCATATTGGACTCATTCTTCCTACTGGCCATTTCTGCTCATCTTAATGTCATACCTACCACATCCTCATAGGTCATTATCATAAACACCATTGTCTAAACTTATCTAATATTTAATGAGCATGAAGAATAAGATAAATGTTAAAATAAACACCTTTTGTATACTATATAATTTATTCCTGAAAAACCCTATGAAATACATAATATTATTTGCACCATGTTACTGTTGAGTAAATTAAGAATTTGACACAATGACATGATAGCTAATAATAATGAATAGCACTTACAATATTGAGACTAGTTCTACTTGAGGCTCATGCTATTACTATTTAGTGTTCATAGTCATAATAAAAATATCTTACTCTTGGTCCAAATATATATGTAAATATTTGGATAAGTAGTAGCAACTTAATAATAGTAAACACACACAAATCAAACTCGGAGATACCCTACTCTTTCTGTTTGAAATGTCAATGCCTCTCATATTGCTTACCTCAGTTAGTCTTTAATTTGTTTCTTTTTCCTCTTTATTTCTCCACATCTATCCTTCCTCACACAATTCAATTTATTATCTTATCTTATTGTGCCACCACCATTTAGTCATTGATCTTTCATAATAAAATATATAATGAAACCATACTTACAAATACTTGATGAGGACGGGGGGTGGAAGTGTTTGATAAATCCAATTTGATTATAATTCTACAGGTAACCTAAATAATTTATATCCATCTAAGAGGAAACTAATTTAAAAAATAGGGAAGCTTGGCAGGTGGGCAGGGGAGGCTCAGTTGGTTGAGCATCTGACTCTTGGTTTTGGCTCAGCTCATGGTACCATAATTGTGACATTGAGCCCTGTGCTGGGCATGGAGCCTACTTAAGATTCTCTCTCTCCCTTTCCCTCTTCCCCTCTCCTGCTTGTTCACTCACTCACTCTCAGATAATAATAATAATAATAATAATAATAATAATAGTTTAAAATTAAAAATAAATTAAAAAATAATATTAGCTGTTTTAACCTTTTGGGAGCCCTTGGTTTTATTGCATTGCACTGGCTGGTAGAAGTTCTATTTTTTATAAACTGTTTACTCATTTGGATATTTTATCTTGATATTTATCAAGATTTCTCATCCTTGGCACAATTAATATTTGGGGCTGTGTAATTCGTTTTAGGTGGGAAAAGACTGTCCTGGGCATTATTAGATGTGTAGCAGCACCCTGGCTTCTATCCACTAGATTCTATTAGCACTCTAACTCTCAGTGATGACACCCTAAAAGTGTCTCAAGACATTGCCAAATGTCCCTGGAGGTTTAAATAGGCCCCAGTTGAGAACTGCTGGTCTAATCTATTGTTCTGTATGCCTATCTGATTCTCAGTCACCATATTCAATGAGTTTTAAATATGTGGCCAAATCTGGTAAGTTTTATTTTTTCAAAGTTTGGAGAGTCTTTGTGGCACAGCGATGATCTGAATCTAAACATTTTTATTTTGTTCTTTCTGGTTTTTATTTGCAAGTATTTTCTTTGTTCTGTTATAGTTTTGATTTTTTTATCTAGGAGTTGTTTCCTGCTCCATCTTGAAAATTGACTTATTCTAGATATACCAAATATAGGTAACAGAAGACTACTTAATTCTTCCATTGCAAAAATATCTCATTCTACTGATAAGGATTTAAAAATCCAAAAAGATTAATCAATTTTTTTCAGGATTAATAGCTAACTTGAGGCTAGCCTGACACTAAAACCTCTCCATCCATATGTTACAAATACATTGTATTCAATATTAAAACTCTGGCTAGAATTTTAAAATCTCCCTCCTTTGATTTGACTTTAATTATCTGTTGGAATTCACCTTGAAAATGTTAAGAATGTATTAAAGAGGCCAGGGTGGCTTAGTCAGTTTAGGGTCTGGCTCATGGTTTTCGCTCAGGTCATGATCTCACAGTTTGTGAGTTCTAGACCCACGTGGGGCTCTGTGCTGATAGCACGGAGCCTGATTGGGATTCTCTGCCACCCTCTCTCTCTGCCCCTCCCCAGCTCATGTGTGCATGCTCTCTCTCTCAAAAATAAATAAATAAGCATTAAAAAAGAATTTCTTGGGGCACCTGGGTGGCTCAGTCATTTAGGCATCCAACTTTGACTCAGGTCATGATCTCGTGGTCCGTGAGTTCAAGCCTCATGTCAGGCTCTGTGCTGACAGCTCAGAGCCTGGAGCCTGTTTCAGATTCTGTGTCTCCCTCTCTCTCTGACCCTCCCCCGTTCATGCTCGCTTGCTCTCTCGCTCTCTCTCTCTCTCTCTCTCTGTCTCAAAAATAAATACACGTTAAAAATTTTTTTAAAAAAACAATAATTTCTTAAAAAGCAGATATTTTTTGAGTATGTAAATATATGAAATAAATGTATTTTTAATCTACTTTTGACAAATCTATTTTAATCTACTTTTCACAGAAAATCCCATTAATATGATCAGACTGAACATACTAATCATTTTATCAAAGTCGTTATGTAGCATCCAAAATTAGTGTTTTGACGCTTGCAATGGAGAAAGTGGGAATTACCTATTTTGGTGTTCTCTCCCAGGACATCTTACTCCAGACATTTAGGACAGCAGAGAAGCAGTCAAAGAGTAAAGGGGGTCAGGCTAGAGGATAAATGGGATGGGTCTGCCATTGCTGAGAGGGTGGGGAGTTGAGAGGAATGCAGGGGCCCCAGCCAACAACAATGATGAGGGAATCCTAATGATGAAGAAGGTGGCAAGGATAGAAGTAAAGAACATTGTATGATGCGCTTTGGAAGATAAGAGTATTATTTATTGACAGCATACCAAAGCAGATATTTCTTGTTATTATCTTTAGAGTTATTATTTTCTGTGATTATCTGTAAAGATATTAAAAATATAGTAGTTAGAAATATGAGATTTAGAAGTGGCCATACCTGAATTCAAGTCCCAGATCTTCCACTTATCAATGATATGACTTGAGCAAAATTTTTAACTCAGATAAACCTCCGTTTACTCATCTGAAAAATAAGGGTGGGGAGTAAATTATCTATACATAAATTTTAATGTGTCAGATAATGTGATATTGTAAAGTGGCCCTAGAAATTCTCAGGAAGTGCTAGCCAAAATTATTGGTATTAAGGAGGCTGTATACAGATGAACCCCAACTTATGATAGTTTAACCTATGATTTATTTGTCTTCATGATGGTGCAAAAACAATAAGCATTCAGTAGGAACTGTACTTTGAATTTTGACCTTTTCCTGTGCTAGTGTTATGTGGGAGAGTCCTCTCTTGTGATGCTGAACAATGGCAGCCACAGCTCTCGGTCAGCCACGTGATCACGAGGGTAAATAACAATTACACTTAAACCATTCTGTGCCTGTACAACCATTCTATTTTTCACTTTCAGCACAGTATTCAGTAAATTACATGAAATATTCAATATTTTATTAGAAAATAGGTTTTGTGTTAGGTGATTTTGCCCAACTAGTAGGCTAATATAAGTGTTCTGAGCATGTGTAAGGTAGGCTAAGCTAGGCCATGATGTTTGCTACATTAGATGTCTTAAATGCATTTTTGATTTATGGTATTTCCAATTTATGATAGGCTTACCAGGATGTAACCCCATCATAAATTGAGGGAGATCTATATATAAATCTGAGACTGCCTAAATATGTTCTTTAAAATTTTCAGACCCATTGCAGTTATAAAATCAACTCTTTCTTGCTGATGGAAACACTTAGTTTATCAATTAACTTTATAATAATTGCCCTTCCTGCTGTAAAAGTGAAGATTCAGTAAATAATGACCCAAGAACAGATGCCAGGGAATGTACTGATTTTTCCAAACTGATTTCTTTGATTCAGTCAGCAACTACTAATTAGACTGTGTAAATAAATTCTAAAAATCTAATGTCAACAAAATTGGATACTGTACTACTTTCAGCTTGTATTTTTTGGAAACACAGTTGTCCTAAAACAGTGATGAATTTGACTGCTTTTATAAAAAAAAAAAATGGGTTAATTTAGGCATACACCTATGTAGTGGGGAAAAAAAAAACCATAAAGATACAATTTATCTTTGTCAAAATCCATTATGACCCAATGTAAAATATGGGTCATATGTAATGTAAATGATGTAAATAATATGTTATCTTAAAATCATTAGTAAATTCTTGATCAAACACTGATGTGCCAAAAATTTGCTATCTTTCTACCTTTCTGTTATCACTTTTGAATATTTTATCACAAATAACACTTAGAAAGAAATAATAGGAGTCCAATTAGAATTTTTAAACAAAAATTTAGTATTTACTGAGTATCTACTATTTCTGGCAGTGTATTAATTTTTCATATGTATTATTTATTAAATGTATGGTATTGTTCATATCTTGTTTGAATGCCAAGATTAGACTGAGAAAGCTAATTGGCATACTCAGAGTCACACAGATGTAAGTATAGTAAGTCATGAAGATAGAGTTCGGACCCAGTGTATCTTATTCAGAAATTTGTTTAACTAACTTCTGTACTTTGCCACTTCCTTTAGCATTGTTCAAAAATACACTTTCTTAAACATTGAAAATTTTCAGTTTGCTCTGTTAGTACATTAAAATGCAATCCTTGCCATATTATGTCATTATAAAAATTATAAAAAATTGACTATAGTAGTAATAGCAGCTAAAAGTTACTGAGCAATTAATAGGTGCCAGCCAGGTTCTGCACTATGTGTTTCAATATGCACTATTTAACTTCCGTTCGAAGAAGTAAGTAATTGTTTCTGTACCCACATTACAGACGAAAAAACGAAGCTCTCAGGAGACACATATGTTACACACAACTGGCAGTAGCAGAGATGTGATCCAAACCCAGGTATGTCTGATTCTAAAGCTATTTACCAGTATAATGTTTATATGAAGTTACATATAATTTAATAATTCTTATGATGAGAAAAATATATTGTAAGAACTGAGAGTAATTTTCAGACTTGAAATAATCTAAATAACGTGACAGGTAATTGCTACTAAACCAAAATTCTATGGACTTCATGTTTGTGCCCAACTCAAGGTTCAGACTAAGGAAATTTCAGAGTTTTAAGATGCTCTTAGATAGCTAGAATGATCCAATACTTTGGAATTTTGCTCATCTATAAATGTGTGGGTACAGAATTATATATAGCTACATATTTCATACTACTCTAGATAATTGAGCTATGATACTCAACTGAATTGATGTGTCCTTTGCTTTCCTGTTTTATCACCCAGGCTCTGCGCTGACAGCAGGGATCCCCATGCGGGGCTCAAACTCAGGAACCACAAAATCGTGACCTGAGTCAAAGTTGCTTAACCAACTGAGCCACCCAGACTTTTTAATACAAAACTTATGAGGGTCTGTTGGCTCACTCTAGAAAGTAGCTTAGTGTAATGGTTAAGAAAGGGAACCTGGAGCCAGACAGCCTGGGTTCAGACTTCTTTCTAAGTATGTGATTTTACTTAACTTTCTTAACCTATTTGTGTCTGAGCTTTGTCATCTGTAAAATTAGGATGATACTAATGTGTTTCACAGAGGATTTCTATAAGACTGAAATGAGTAAAATGTGAAAAATATGTAGAATAATGTCTGGGACAAAGTAAGAGCTGTATAACTATTTGCTAAATAAATAAATGAAAATAAAGCCTTCACCAGTAAGCCTAATTGGAAGTATTTTCTCTGTTTGCTGATGTGTTTCATTCATCTCTTAAGGCACTAACCACTTTGCCTACTCTTATAATTATCTACTTGCATACCTTTTTCCTGATAGTAGGTTTTAAGCTTCTTGAGAAGAGAGATTATTTCTTGTATTGCCTCAGGACTGTTCAATAAGACTCCTATATAAGTGAATCAGTGATTCTCTAGAGCCAGGCAAGTGATTTCCTTCCATTTCCTTCCATCTGAGACAATATTGCTGATGTCAACCTTAAAATTAAAATGGCCAGTTATTTTTCTAGCAGAATGATTTTGTTTGGGAATAGCAGAGAAATTGCAGTTAGGGACATGCAAGCTGTGGTGAACCATAGGCAAGCACAAATAGACAAAGGGGAGGTCAGCTTTTATTAGGTTTTAGGAGGAAATTGGAGAGGGTTGCTTTGAGCACAAGGTCACTGGAGAAGAACAAGAGTTTGAGGTATGGCAATCTCTGGTTGGCTGTGAGCAGTGGTTAGTGAGTTGTTGCTGTAACAGAGAGGGATCTTCCTACTTTTTCCAAAAAGCAGTAGATGAAATTTCTATGTGAAAAATGTCGTCCCTTGTCAAGATAATTCTTATCTTTCTTCCTGCTGGCTATGCAGGCTACAGCAATGGAACCTGCATGAGAGCTCCCCCTTCAGCACTTCTCAAATCCATTTTATTTTTTCATTTTGAGAGAGAGAGAGAGAGGGAGAGAGAGAATCCAAAGCAGGCTCTGCGCCATCAGCATAGAACCTGACACAGGGCATGATCTCATTGACCATGAGATCATGATCTAACCCAAACATCAAGAGTTGGATGCTTAATTGACTGAGCCACCCAAGCACCCCTTCTCAAATCCATTGTGAATGAAATTTCTTTTATTTTCACACTGATGATTATAGCACCATTACACCATTTGTCACACTGACATGGCAGTTAACACTGGTAGAAATTGTTACCTTCTGATATGATCACTTGGTGCCCTCTATGTATGTGGTAGGCAAAACAATATCCCTACAAAGTTGTCTGTGTGCTGATCCCCAGAATCTATGGATACATTACTTGACTGGGCACAGAGAACACTGCAGATGTGACTAAATTAAGAATTTTGAGATAGAGAAATTATTCTGGATTTTCCAGGTGAGCCCAGTATAATCACAAGTGTCCTTATAAGATGGAGACAATGGAGGCAGAGGTCATTGTGGTGCCATTATTAGGGATGGGGAGGGGGGGAGCATGAGCCAGGAGATATGGATAGCTTTTAGAAGCTAGGACAGGAAAGGAATGGATTTTCCCTTAGAATCTCCAAAAAGAATACAGCCCTGCTGACAGGTCATTTTCAAGACTTCTTACTTCCAGAACTGTCAGTCAAATTTTGTATTATTAAGTTTGTGTTATTTTAAATCACGAAGTTTGTGGTTATAGCAGCCACAGGTAACTAATAAAATCTATTTCCATGAGTGAAAGATAATGAAACAAAGATAGTAATAAGGGAAGAAGGAAGAAATGAAGGAAGGAAAGAGGAGGAATGCTTTACTAGAGATAACATTTCTGTGGCTGATATGAATAAAAGGGCCAAAAACAAAATAGAGAGAATTAAGCAAATTATCATGGGCAGAAACTAAGCTGAAATGTTGGGAACAAAATTTCAAACAAATACATTAATTATTTTATTGAAAGTTGGTAGACATTTATATGAAAATTACTTTATCACGAGCAAGTTATTGTAAGAAAAAAAGATACTACATTAATACCTAAATTCACTTAAAAATGATGGCATCACAAACCAAGTACAGAGTTTCTTTTAAAAACCCAGTCTTAGAGGCACTGGGTGGCTCAGACAGTTAAGCATCCAACTTCAGCTCAGGTCATGATCTCAGGTTTGTAGGTTCAGGCCCCACATCGGGCTCTGTACTGACAGCTCAGGGCCTGGAGCCTGTTTCATAATCTGTGTCTCCCTCTCTTTCTGCCCCTCCCCTGCGTGCACTCTGTCTCTCTTTCTCTCTGTCTCTCTCTCTCAAAAATAAACAAACATTAAAAACAAATTTAAAATTTTTTTTAATGTTTTATTTATTTTTGAGAGAGAGAGAGGGGCAGAAAGAGAGGGAGACACAGAGTCTGAAGCAGGCTCTAGGCCCTGAGCTGTCAGCACAGAGCCTGATGCGGGGCTCCAACTCACAAACCATGAGATCATGACCTGAGCCGAAGTTGGACACCTAACCAACTGAGCCACCCAGGCGCCCCCATTAAAAACAAAGTTTTAAAAAATTGAAAAAAAAAAGTCTTGAGTGGGGAGGCATCTGGGAGGCTCAGTTGGTTAAGTATGTGACTCTTGATTTGGGCTCAGGTCATGATCTCATGGTTCGTGAGATCAAGCCCAACATTGGGCTCAACTCTAACAGTGGCAGAGCCTACCTGGGATTCTCTCTGTCCTTGTCTCAAACCTTCTCTTGCTTACTTTCTCTCTCTCTCAAAAATAAATAAACAGGGGCGCCTGGGTGGCTCAGTCGGTTAAGCGTCCGACTTCAGCTCAGGTCACGATCTCGCGGTCCGTGAGTTCGAGCCCCGCGTCAGGCTCTGGGCTGATGGCTCAGAGCCTGGAGCCTGCTTCCGATTCTGTGTCTCCCTCTCTCTCTGCCCCTCCCCCATTCATGCTCTGTTTCTCTCTGTCTCAAAAATAAATAAACATTAAAAAAAATAATAAATAAACAAACAAACAAACATTAAAAAAAAAAATACAGCCAGTCTTGGAAATGGTGAGTAAAATTTTTTAAACTTATTCTCTCAGCAGTGATATTTAATGGTCTCCACTCATTCCTTCCGTCTCTTGCCTTTCATCTTGTCTCCCTGATTCTACTTCCAACCAAAAGCAGTTGTGTTTAGGGTAGTAGTGAAGGGAGAGTAAACAGAAGGGTAATAGTGGGGATGATACTGTCAGTCTCATTTTTAAAAAGAGACTGCAGAAGTGCTGAACAGAAGCTTTAATAGCATCCCTGGCAGTAACCACCCCTGTTCCCTGTGTATTTTGAATCAGATTTAATTTGAATTAAATAGAAATAAAACTCTTTACCATTGCACCCTAATGACTGTAATTTTCTCTCAAGCTGTTACTTACAGACACAGTATGCTGCACCTTGAAAAGAACATTCTTATCCTTTTTTATTGAGTCTGAAGGCTAATACCTTTATTTTTAAAAGTAGTCTATTTTTGAAGGATGAACTTAAATATTGTGAATTATTATGACACATAGGCCCTTCTGGATTTTTCACAAAAAGAGTAATTCCCAACTTAGTTGTCTTTATTTTTTTACCATAATTCTAGCCAGCCCAATGATACCACCCAGTTTGTCTTTTTTAGGGTTATAATACTCCTGTCAGAAGCTCTATGGGAAGCATTTAACTTACCACATAGCTGTAACCCTGATTGCCAGAGCCAAAATGTCTCCAATATGACTTCAAGTAGTTCAAGTCTCTGGTGCCAGATGGCATGCAGATTGGTCCCTTTCACAGATACAGATGACACTGTGCCCAGAGTTTGTTAGAGTGTCTACATCTACTCCTGCTGGGAGTATAATTTGGTAGAAAAACTCTTTGGCCTACCTGCCAGTGATACAGAAAATATAGATAGACAGACTCATTTCCAGATGACAGCTTTAAAATACACACCCTTCTCTGTTATCAGAATAACAAAGTACGAAAATTGAAAAATGCAGATAAACATGTATCTTGAAGCTGGATGGAAGAGGAAATTTATTAAAAAAGTAAAATTTTTAGTAGTAGGCTAAACAGAAATTTCACTGAATGAGAGATCTAATATGTCATCTCCTTTTTCCCTCATTGTAAAAACTACCAAGGAGAAAAACAAGCTGTTCAGAATAAATGGAGTAGGGGAACCTCTTTGCATCTATGTATCATGACTTTGATATCCAAGAGGCTGCAATGAGTGGAAGGAATATCAATATTAATACAAGTTCCCTGAGCTAGGTAATAGTTATTAGAATGAATAACTGAATCTAGATGCTATATTCTATAAGTTTTCTATATTATATCCTATAAGTTTTCCATTTTTTTTTTATATCTGACAATTATATACAGTTTTAAAGACTTTTGTTCCAATTCTACCTCATGGAATGGTGGAGTAGGATTATTTTTCTGGTTTTTTTTTTT